AACAGTGCACCAGGGTTCCTTTTTCTCCACAGCCTCGCCAGCACTTGTTGTTTGTTGATTTATTGATGATAGCCATTCTGACCAGAGTGAGGTGGTATCTCATTGTGGTTTTTATTTGCATTTCCCTAATGATTAGTGAGGTTGAACATTTTTTCATATGCCTGTTGGTCACCTGTATGTCCACTTTAGAGAAATGCCTCTTCATATCCTCTGCCCATTTTTTAATTGGGTTGTTTGTTTTTTTGGTGTTGAGTTGAATGAGTATTTTATAAATTTTGGATATTAACCCCTTATCAGATATCTCGTTGACAAATATCTTCTCCCATTCAGTAGGCTGTCAGGCTTCTTTTCTTAAATTTCAACAGTTCTGGAAGTATTTCAAGATCCTATTCAATCTTTTACCTTGTTGGTTTAGATTTTCATCAGACTCTTTAAGTTAATTGGGCCCCTAAAGAGATTAGTTAATAATCTCAGATTTATATGATGGTTATTTAAATGCTAAAAAAAAGTCACATATTATAATGTGGGGGATTTAGTTCTGCAAAACTGCATTTTTTAACAAAGTCACAATTTTGCATTTTCAAAGTTTGTGTTAAGATTGCCCCCAAATGACTTAACACAAGGTACACATTAAAAAAAAAATCACTTGACCTGCAGGAGTTGAGATGTTAGAAAATCAGTAAGAAATAAACACATTTAGAAAGGTGAAAATGCACAAGCAGTGACACATTTTGTCCCTGTGCCAAATCCTCAAGGAACTGACATCTTGTTCCAACTTCTGTTGTTCCCCTTTACTTCCAGCCAACTAGATTTCACATACAATTGTCTCAGGCTCCATCAGACTGGGAAAAGGTGGGGATGCAATGGATGCTATACCACTTGGCAGATGGTCTCTCCACACTGACACTTGATGTTGAATGAGGGAAAGAGCCTGGCACGTAGTAGGCCGGCCTAAGACACTTAAACAATCATATTTGTGTTAAGTTTGGAAGGAAGGCTCAGGGCAGAGATGATCAGATTCCTGCGACTTCAGTGCCCCCTCTCCGGTGCTGAGGCCAGTGCTGGGAGGAAGCTGGATGTGAGCCGGCCGCTCTGGGGGAAAGGGCCGCTTGGGCCAGGTGCACGCGACGATGCACGTGGAAAGGCTCGGTAAATAGGCACGCCTTCTGCAAACCGAAGGTGACCACGACCCCATCATCTCTGGCCAAACATTTTACCTAGAGCTGTGCGCGCGGCATGCGGGGCTCACCCACCCGCGGGGGCTCGGCAGTGCCCGCCGCAGGGGGAGGCACCTGGCGCGGGGTCCCACCCAGGGCGCCCTTCGCGAGGCTCCGGCACCAACAGTGGGGCTGCGGGGCTGCGAGGCTGCGGGGAGGGCGGCGCGGGGCGGGGCTTGGCTGCGGGGAAATGACGTTGCCAACCCCGCGCGCCCCGCGCGCCCTGGTAACGGCGGCTCCGCGGCTCCCGCGTCCTCCTCCACGTCGCCGCCGCCCCCCGCAGCAGCCCGCCCGGTCCCCGCCTCCCCCCGCAGCTCCGGCGGCGGCCGCCTCGCTGGGTCCCTGGTACCAGGTGGGAGTGGGACCTGCGGGGCCACGCTGCCAGCGACCCCGTCGCCGGGCGCGAGCCGGCAGGGCCCCGGGCTGCTGCCGCCGGACCCCGGGCGTCTGCCCCGCGCCGGTGTCGGCCACAGCCTCGGGCCGGAGGGGCCGCTCGGTCCCTGCACCGGGGTGACCGGGGATCGCGGGCGGGAGGGCGCCTGCAGCTGCGGCTGGAAGGCGCCGGGGCTCGGGTCTGGAAGCGGATGCGCCGGCCCTGGCCTCCCAGACGCCGTTGATTCGGGGACCGCCCCCGAGCGCGGGGACAGGTGCCCTGGCCGGGGTCTGTTGGGAAGATGGCGACCCCGGGCATGAGCTGGCAGCAGCACCATTACGGCGGCTCGGCGGCCGGGGCGACCAAATTCACGCCCTCGCCGGCCGCCGCGCAGCAGGCGGGACACGGCATGGACTACAGCCAGGACCTGCACCTGAAAATGAGCAAGAAAATCGCCCAGCTCACCAAGGTAAGGGCGGCATTGGGGTCTGCACGGCTGTGACTCGACGGGCCGCCCGGGGCTCACCGGCCCCGCCGGGAGGCTGCGCGCCCTGCGCCCGGGGCGAGTTGACGGGGCTGTTACGGGGAAGCAACAACTGGAGACTTACCGCCGAGAGCCGCTCAAACTTCGGTGGAATCCGGCAGCGTTCAACTAGGCAGCTCAGCAGCACGGCGGGGTTTCTGGGACTCGTACCCGGCTGCCCTTTAGGGATAAACCTGCGCAGAGCAACTTAGGATCTACTTCCTTTATTCCACAATAATCAGTCTCATTGGTTTTGCTTTCATGCGTGTGCCAAGGCTCCACGAGGCATTACACTACGTACTGTATGAAGTACAGTACCCTATTTACCCACCATGATCTGGAATCTTTGGAATTAATCAGTTTGTGTGTGTGTGTGTGTGTGTGTGTGTGTGTGTGTGTGTGCGCGCGCGCGTGTGTATATGTGTGTGCATATATATATATATATATATATATATATATATGTATGTATGTATGTATGTGTATATACACACGCACACACACATATGCATGTTACGTAGGTAAAGGGGGAATAAACCTTCCGAGCAATGTAGGAGGGTAAAACATACCATGCATTCCAGTTTGGGGGATTTAATGAGTCATTCCTTATCCTGACAAAATGTCAAACAAGGTTTATTAGATGAATCATGTGTCTGCATTCAGTTAAATGTTTCAGTCTATCAGAAGTTAATTTCCAGAGAGCAAATAGCCTGCAAATTTGGCCAACTGTTGTTTAGGACAGTACTTGGATGGCAAGCGTTTGCAGGTTTAGTAAATGTTGATAATGAGAAAGAGTTGATACCCGTGAAGCAAGAGGAATTTAGGTTGATTATATTGCCCTGTTTAGATATCAGGAGCAATCTTTCAATATCCATTAAGTGAGAAGAAGTGATTAGTAGTTCTGAAAGTTAGTAGAGGTGACAGACCCTAAAGCGTTTAAGCTGATCACAAAGTGGGCTAACCACTTTTTAGGAGCATTAGTATGCTGAAGAGAGGTGGGCATTATGAGGGTTTATTACTGGATAGCCGCTGAAGTCTGACTCTTTCAACCACAAAATTCTCATTATATAATTCCATTACTGGTTAGCAGTTTTGAGAGAGTAAAGGAAAACGGAGTTCAAGAGAGGAAAAGAAGGAAATGGGAGGGAAAAGAGGGTAAACATATTTTGGTGAAGAAAAGTGATTGAGCGTAGAAAAAATAACATGAAAGGATTAAAGAATGAAGACTCAAATGGAAGAGCAAAGGAGAGCATACGTACTCAACCATCCAAGCAAGGCAACATTTTGTAAAGTTAGGCTTTTTGATTTGTATCAGCTGTGTGTCCAGTTTTTACCGTGTCCTCTTGTGACACAGGGTCCCCAAATTCAGATAAAGGAAGGCCCAGGAAGGCACGATACTATACCATCAGAACATTTATACATTTGGGAGCTAAAAGCCAGGCTTCCTGAAATTGTGTTTTGATCTTCAGAATACTGATGTCCAAAATGAAGCACATGGGTATTTATTTATTCTGATCTTACGGTGTGTCCACAACATCCATTGTTCTTATTTTACATCATTCTCCAGAGCCCTGCTCTAAGGAATAGAAATCTTCAGTAAGTTGGTAGTGGAACTGTGTACAGTTTATAAAAGAAGTTTCTTATCCCTCCAGTACACTACTTTTTACTTATGCTTTTTCAAGTTCATGTCTTTTTATCAGAAAAAATAATGTAACACAACTGTTTAAGTGGGAGTACTGAGAGAAGTTGCTGTCACTTTCTGTCTTTCCACTGCCTACGTCAAACCTAATAGGCAGAGGCTGTCCCCATGCCAGTGCTCTCATCACAGCTTGAGTGCTGCACCTAATCTTTACTGAGTGTGACGTGAACTCCTGATTTAGTGTTTATGGTTACAGTTCCTAAACACTTGCACCACTCACTCTGCTAAATGCCTCAGACATTTAATCCCTTATACTAGAGTTGCTTAACCTTGGCACTGTTGACATTTTGGACTGGATAATTACATGTTGGGAATGGGTGGGGCTGTACTATGCATTATAGGATGTTTAGCAGCATCTCTGGTGCTACCCAGTAGGTTCCAATAGCAACCCCGCTCACACACACAGTCAGGACAGTAAACATTGCCAAATGTTCCTGGGGTGAAGGGGGGATTATCCTAGGTTGAAAAACACTGACTTATACTGAAATATCTAGGGTTATTACTCAGATAAGGTGTGAGAAAGAAATGATCTGATAGGACTCTACCCCTTCAGTTTCTGAAACATACAGTAAGACCTGCCTCCCTCATGTACCATTTTAGAAACTGTCAAATTTTACAGTCACATACACACTGTAAATACTGTATCATAAGAATGATATCATGAGTAATATATGAATTGTTAGATTTTAATGGTATTTGCTATATAGAATTTTTACTCATGAAGAGTTTACTAATGAATCCATATCAGCATAGATATGTTAAGCAGAACTATGGTTTGGAACTTGACAATAGCTTATACTTCAAAGCTAGACGTTATAAAGGTAACATTAGATAGGATTTGATTTCTTTTGAAATGAGTCAGTAGAACTCATCTCTTGGGTCGAATGACCCTTTCACAGGGGTAGCCTAAGACCATCAGAAAACAAAAAGATATTTACATTACGATTCATACCAGTAGCAAAATTACAGTTATAGAGTAGCAACGAAAATAATTTTATGGTTGGGGGTCACCACAACATGAGGAACTGTATTAAGGGGTTGTGGCATTAGGAAGGTTGAGAACCGCTGCTTTAGCATTATCGTCAGCATGGCTTGGGAATCTGACACACTGTCTTGACTTAAAACTCCTGCTGTGCCACTTACTAGCCTTTGGCAGTTCACTCAACTCTGAGCCTCAGTTTTCCAGTCTTTAAAAGAAGGATGACAATACTATAACTCTCTAAGATAGTAAGTCAGCTAACAAAATATTACTAAAATACTGAATAATATGTTTTAAAAACGCTCCTCTCTTTTTAAAATAAACCATTCTGCATTTAATAGCATTATATGATATTGTGTTGAGGGTTTCCTGCTAAACTCTTTAGAAATGTATATAGTAATTTTTTTTTCTATTTGAAAGTTTAAATTTTTCACATTTTTCAGAGATTTGTCTGGCTATGAAAGGCTAAGGATGAAAGTAATCTGTAAATTTTGCAGAGAGTGGGTCTCAATATATTTTTAACTAACTGAAAAGCAGTCTCAGCTGCAGACGTATTTGTTCAAAGTCTCTTTCCTAAGAACCTAACACAGCAGCCATCTCTGGAACAGAGCACAGTAGTTCTTTAAGCACCTTTTATGTAAGAGGCACTTTACTAAGTGTTAGAGATACAGCAGAGAGCAAGACACAGTCTTGGCCTTTTAAAGCAAGTCAATCATATTTAGATTACTTGTGTCCAATTTTAAGAATTACTATTAGATTCTTGAATCACGCTGTGGCGTATTTTTGGGATTGTTAATACCTGAACCATCTCAGGATAGGCAGAGAAGCTGGATGGGTTGAATTCTGTTTTATAAGATCACCTTTGTGGACTTCTCTACTCTCCACTGTGTTGACTCTTCAGAGTGCATTAGGCTGAAAAGCAGGACTTGTGGGATGTACTTTTAAAAACAGCTTAATTTTGGCACTCACCGCGTCCCTTTCAGTTTACTCTGTGAGATTGGCTCATCCCCTGCGCGTTGGATCAACTTGACTTTTCTGGTTACTTTTAGATAATGCAAATTGTCCTTCAGTAACTAAGTTGCAAAGGTCTCAATTTGATTATTAAAACGTCTAGTACCAACAAATAAAAACCCCAAACCAAGCTGAATAACGGGTGAAGTTTCTCCCCCATGCCCACTCCCTGGCTCTGCCTATTGCAAGGGGGAAGCCAGTAATGGGGCGTGGTGGTGGGGAAACCAGTGGCTTGTTTTTTTCTGACCGGGCTTTTCTACCCCTGCTTTGCCTCACCAGTCCTGGTTTCCGACCCCTCCCAAGTTGGACAAGGAAGAAGGGAGGGGAGAAAAGAGGAGCAGCAAATGTGGTTCCTCAACCTCCCACCTCAGTTACGCGCGCTTCCTCTCCCCAGGTTGCTTGAGAAGGAGAACGCGTCTGTAATTCTGGCTGCTTGCTTACTCCTTCCTGAGCCTCTTGGATCTGGCAGGATCTTCACGTTCTTTTTGCTGAGGTCCATGCAAGCTCCAGGTAACACTCCTGGGTGGGCTTAGGTGACCCCACGCCAGCTTTCTCCGTCTCTCCCTTAGGGCCCACATGCTCCGTAGGCAGCTCTCATTCCTTGCCCGGCATGCTCTGGAAGTGGTTCCAACTCAGTCAGCTCTCTTCTGCCGTCACATGTCTCTTCATCCAGCTTCTCATCCTTAGATTTTCCAGGTGTGAATCAGGTACCAGTTCAGTTATGTTCGTCAACATGAGTGAGACATGATAATACCAGGCTCTTCAAGTCCCATCAAAGCCTTTCCCCCCAGGCTTTAGGTGAGGGGCAAGCAACCACCTCTCCCCTCCCCCTTGAAGGCGAGGGCACTTGTTCACATAGCTCTCCCCAAGGAGCCTTATCCAACCCTCCTCCCTGTAATCTTGAAGCTTCTCTCGTTGGTGTTGGGGTTTGGAGGTAACACAGCTCAACACTCCTCTCTTTAGACTGCCTCCTTTGGAAATTTTGAGAATGTTCTGGCACCTGCTTTGGAACATTGATTGTTTTTGGTTCTCAGTAGAAACTTCCCTTTTAATATCCTGTTAAGTTCACTGCTCATCCAATGTCTCTTTAGTGGATTGCACTTTCAATATAGTTCAGTCCGGTTATCACTGACAGACAGACCTAGTGTAGAGTGGAATATAAGGTTCTGAAGAGCAGGAAGTGGTTTCTTTGTGTTTTCTGTGCTTAGCATTGAGCCTTCCTCTTTTAGTACCCAGCTTCTGTCCCTCCTCCAGAAAGCT